AAAAACATTAAGAGTTGGCAGAATAATGGTGCAGCAGGTCAATTTCCATTACTGCAATTGTGAGTAATGTACATAGAGGCCAATTTGAATATACTACACAAGATATTGAACTCTGCATAGCATTTTAGTGCATTACTCTATAATTAAGGCATTTTGTTTGACAGAGGTAATTTTTGGTTGGTTGTAGGCATCAGTCAAGCTTGTTTTAAGGGGATCAGACTGATTAATCAGCTGATTAATGGAGAGAAGATGGCAGACTAGAAACCTAGGTCTATGTGCTGGTGGCAACATTGGCTTTCTTCTCATTGAAGAAACTCTTAAGCATAAGCACCTGGCCAATACAGACCACAAACAGGATGATGGTCTCCCCAATGGACCAAAAGTGCACACGTTCACTCAGGTCTTCAGCCCTGATACGGTCCTGAGCCTCCCGAAGACGATACCAAGTCTGAGAGTCTGAAACCACTTTCAGGATCTCATGGACAGACAGGCAGGCTGACTCCATCTGCATGATTTATTCAGAGGTTCACATCAAATGCATATATGCACAGTGCATTCCATGTATGATTGCATGCTGTTTGTGTTTCTCACCTGTGTGAGAGCTGTTGCTCTGTTCATGCCAGGCATTAATCTGACATCCTCTCCAGTTCTGAAGTCCAGATAAACAGTTTTGTGAGAGAAGGTTGAGAACTCATTGCTAAAGCAGACCTTGTACACTCCCTTCATGGTTGTTGTATGGGAAAAGCTGTCATATTGCTTTTTGCGTTCTTGATACAGCAGATTATTCAGTGGATCTGTCACAAAACAGTCAACATCATAGTTTCCTCCAGCAATAACCTGTATGGAAAGAAAAGTACTGATATTAGGAATATGGCATACATGGTATTTTCAATTGTTTAACAATGTTTTATCAGTGTTGAACAAAGTTTAACAGGTTCTTAAGCCAGAAAACCATGGTGATATGTTTGTGCTCCATAAAACTGGAAAATATTCAACAACTTGGAAAGCAAAAGATAAATAATCCACAAACACTGCAAAAAATAAAATAAATAAATAATCCACAAGCAAGTTTTGTTAAAAGCAGCTGTTGGCACAATTACCTGAAAGTCTACATCAAACTTTGCTCCTTGCTCTAGGTCCTCGTAAAAGCATTGTTT